CTACGCTGCGATGCTGACATCAAGTATGTGTTGACCGAAGTTTGACCCCAAGTCACGCACTGAACTGGTGTGTTACCTTAGCAACCTTTTTCTTTCTTGGTCCACGTGTCGATCTCGTAAAATTGTTATTATATCTGGCGGTACTGTAATAACACAACTTGTATTCAACTCTGTATTGGCGTTGTATATTTCAACATCGTTTACTTAGTGTGCTGCTTTTCTAATAACGCAAATATGTTTACAGTATTTCACGGGCTCTAAATATTTCAACTTTGCAATGTATTGCTTTTATAATAATTACGCAAACTAAGTTATTTTTATTGTTGTTGGGATACTAACCCGGGCTATTGGGTCTGTGAATATTTCAATATTACCGACTTGATAATGCGTTGCATTTGTAATTATTACGCAAATTTAAACATGGGCGCATTTAAATCATTGAAAAAGATAGTCAGGTCCCGGAGTCAGGTGTCTAACGAAAGTCGAGAAAATATTTTAAATATTTGTGACTCATCGGTGAATTATTTTATTTGAAATAAAGTAAATATGTAACCATACAACAACATACACGTACAATATCATGCGTAATGTTAAATTTTTCTATAATAAACTCGCAGCACACTTCGATCGCATAATTCGCGTACATGACTGAACTATAATAACCATTGAATTACGTGCGGCAATGGGCAATGACCTCAATGAGTTCACGCACTGACATTTAAATTCGGGCCACCCAGTTTGACGCAAAACGATATAGTTACTTAACATTTGTTCAAAAAATCGGTAAACTCTCACAAATACCATGAACGCGAAGTTAACTGAAAGGCAACGTCGTTTTTGACAAAAAAAAAAAAAAAAAGACGTGTCAATACAAGATTATGTGTGCAAGGTTAGATTTAGATCTGTTTTTTTTTAATAATCATGTTGCACGTGAAACACAGGAGACATTTTAGTTCGTCCATTTCTTGTTTACCGATCTTGAACTTTTTGTCTGGAATGCGATACAGGCAAAGAATAAACATTAATGATACCCACCGTTGTCAAATCAACAAGAGGCTCGAATCAGGAAGGCTCGGCTATTTAAAACTTCGTAAATAACATTTTTTTCATGTGGTAGACTTTATTCAAGTGTACCAAACGTAAGTGCAATGTATGGACGAGTCATAATACTCGTACCTTCGAAAGTTACGACTTTTACTCTTGGAGTTGGTGATAAATACATGCATAAAATACAACATTGTTTCACGCAACAACAATTCGTATACAGCATTGGACTTATGGATTTTTATATTAATAAAATACGTGAGCCGATAATATTACCATATGCTTAGTATTTCCATGCCAACGATGCTCGTAACCTGCTCGATTTAAAAACAGCTATTTGAAACAAAGACCAATGGAATCACAAAGGAAACTGTAAAATACGTATTTCACACCTTTCCTACGACTGCGGTTGCAACCGGTGAACCGCCCGTTTGATTTCCTACTCTCCCCTAAATGTCAATAAAGTTTAACCCTCTGATTGCCTATTAAAGTCAGCTGCAGGCATTTTTCACAAAATAGTTCCATATATTGTCTACTTTCTTCCACAGAAAATGTTGTTGAAAATGTCACATTTTGTCTGTTCAGTCTATAATTAAAATTCGCCTGTGAAATGCTTGTAACTCCGATGTCCAAAATTGGTTTTGTGAATAGTGCATATATATGAGCACAAGTAAAGTTGCTGTCTACTATCAGTCATTTATTGCATTTCACAATGAGGCGCCTCGTTAGTCCTCATTTGCATACAAGTATTCTCCTGGTGACATCACTTGATCGTCGATTGATAGCCTTCAACAAGAACAACTGCCATTTTGAAAGTTAAAACTTCAGGTCATCGGAACCATATTTGGATGCATTCAATGACCTTATACATGAATGCACATTTTCCATTGGTCAATTGCTTGTCCCTGTATCATATAGAATGCGCAAGATTGCAAACATACACGTATTTCCTAAAATTAGATTTCTAGTTTGATGCAACGAAACATGCATTCATTGAAATTCATGGAAATTTGTTTGAAATCTTACTGAACGTTTTTATAATCAGATTTTCACTCGCCAACGACGCTTAGTGAGCGACAATCGTATGTTAGTGATGTGTATTGGGATATTGACTGTGCATAATTATGGATTGACCTCTGTGCATATCTTATACATGCCTGGACTGATTACATTCAAACCTCACACATATCGTAAATCATACATAATATTATACATAGGCATGTCAATTTGTTTCACTATCTGATTCAAGATGGCAGAATGATCAAGCATTTCTGGCATTGCGAACTGAATGTTGACTATTTGCAGATGTTTTTTGTTCAAACTTACATACATTGGACATTATGGGACCTTGATGCACATTCATTTTATTTTAATGAATGTGATCCTAGTACCATAACTCTGACATGCTTTGACTGATTATGTTCAAATTTTATATATATCATGTCATAGATATACAGATGTATTTGTTTGAAGATCTGATTCAAAATGTTTTAATTAATGCTGTTCCATAGCAATATTTCTCAATATGAAAAAATTTTTGACCATCAAATACAAGATGACTGAATGTCAATCATTTTAATGTTAAATCATAATCAACTATCAGCTTCTGGGTCCATACCTCTGACATGTTTATGTGCAAAATTATATTACTATAAATAAAACTATATCTTAAATTTGATAACTAACAGGGACTGTGCCACGCATGGCTTGTTGGATAATATTTTGCTTCCAGAAAATAAAATGACTGACACTTGTAAAATGAATAGTTTTCCAACTACAAGTTTTTACAGAATTCAGTGTGTAGCATTTGCACAGCTTTGCTCTTTGTGTGGTGTTTGTTGGTGCAGTTTCACTTCAGGAGAAGTTGTAAAGCCATAAACAGCAGACTGTGACAGGAAGGGAGTCTGCAACTAGAATCCATGCATATTAAGTACATAATTTGCATAATGATTTGTCAATTTTCAAAATGCTGTATTTGGTCTAATAAAGGCATGTGCTAACTTCATTCCTCCAATACCTTCAGCACAAGGGAGTTCTTTCTAAGCTTTCTTTGATTAATGTCTATTTCAGGGCAAAAGAAACCCCCAAAAAATGAATGTTGCAGGTGGGCATTTCACAGACAACTTAACACATGCATCACACATCTGTGAAAACCTTTGCTTAAATCAAAATTAGCATACCATTACCAGTTAGATACAGTGACCTTTCGCTAAGTAACTGGTGTCGGGATCCAAGCAAAAATCTGTGACTACCCTGGGGACATTGAAAATGGATAAAAAGCACATACTAGTATACACACATGGATTTATTTATAGTATGTTTCCTGTGATGTTTCTGAAAAAAAACAGTCCATGTCTCAGATCAAGCTTCACAGTTGTGTATAGGTTTTTTTGGCTAGCACCAGAACTACCCCGAACTGACCTAAAATTCAAAGTTGTCTTTGAGTTGCTAGGTGATGATGCATGCTTTGCATTGGATGATGGGACCAGAGAGTGGAGCTCCTGCAGACCGTTCTTGAAAAAACCATACATAAACAGCTTTATTAATGTTATCATTGTTCGATAATTTGGCACAATTTCTGTTCAGTCCACCCCTTGGTAAACTTGGTTAACATAATTCTTAGCCCACTCACAAATAGTGAACTCTTTGACCTTAGATCAAGTGCAACCGTTGACTTGGTTTTAACTTTCTTGACACATACGATTTCTTCAAATTTTTTAAATATGTACAGACAGACAGACAGACAGACAGACAGACAGACAGACAGACAGACAGACAGACAGACAGACAGACTGGATGGCTTTCGCTTAGACATGCTGCTTTGTTAAGAACTAGAGATTACAGTGATGGATTCAACTCATTGTAGCTAATTTGATAGAGCTTAGCGAGGGGTCACTGTATTTGTCTTTGATATTGCACATGTTACATAAATGACATGCATGTCTGTGGTAATATTGAGACTCATTTCAATGATACAGTTCCAAATTCAGCAACCATTATTCCCTGTAAATATGCACGAGATAAATAAATAGTCCCATCTCAGTTTGATACACTCTGGGCGATAATCACTCATGTCTGCAGACATCAAACTAACAAAAGTATTATGGGATTATATAAATTGCAATAAAGTGTAAACATTCATTCAAAACTGATAAAACCTTGCTCAGTTGGATAGTTAGTTGATCTTATTATCAGTGAACGGTCCATGATTATATGTGTTGCCAGACAGTGAGTAAAGCCTCATAACACTTTATCTTCCCACATCTCAATATTGGTACTTTCACAGAACTCACAACTGCTCATTACCTTCCTTTACCCATAGATCCTTTTATCTGTGGATGAACCAATATAACTGCAATAAGATATATTAGCTTGCATGCCATTGTATGGAGAGTCATGCCATTATCCTCTCTATTAGTAGATTTAATCAATATACGCAGTATTACATAATGGTTTGGGGGGGAAATCTCTCTTAAAAAGAAAGATGTGCGTAGGAGCTCTCACTTTTCTACACATGTTTTTGAGTGCATTTGCGTATGTAATCAATTAAATTGAATGTGTACGTGTATACTCCTGTTACTAAGTTACCAATTGTATTGCAACCTAGACTAAGCTTTTCAGTAGTAGACAATTACTTGCCCTATATAGATGTACATGTATATGAATGTGGCTCAGAAAACACGGCATTGCAAGGTCTAGTTTTTACTGCTGCCTATCAGTAGACCAGGTTTGTTTAAATATGGAATGAAACCATGCTATACATGTCACAACATTTAGTTGCTATGCATCAATTCTCTTTTGTTTGTATCTGAGAGCATTATGCATGGATCGGTGATCTGATGAATTGACATTATTCTTCAAAAGCCTATGCCAGTCATTTTACATTGTATACAAAATGTCTAAACTTTAAATAATTCAAGTGCTATTGCATGTGAGACAATAAATGGTTTTTTTTTGGTGGAATTTTATGTTCAACAAACTCTCATGGATCAATTTATGTCATCCGTTTTCTTTTTTACAGAACAGTCACATATAAGCTAGTATGTGCATTTATAATCGAGAATATAAACTTTCTTTCTAGGTAGGGTTTCTAAAAGCATGTTCATTCTATTAGAATACAGTAAGTAAGGGACGTGTGTGCACAATGATGATGATGACAATGATGCAATCATTCAAATAAAACTTTAACATCCTTCAAAACATTCCCAGGGTTTCAAATTCAGAATGCCATTGCTTTGGATGTCCTCCTGACTTTCTCGTGGATTCTCTTTGACAATTTTAATCAGTCAAAAGCATTTAAATGTTAACCGTAAGGTAGATTGATACCTTGCTGACGTCATCCCATCGCATGTTGTTATGATTATGAGCTCAGTCTTGTGTTAAGCCTAAAGCGTGAAATAAACTGAAAAACAACTTTCTAGCATGTTCAAAATAGCACTAGGATTTGTAAAGCTGGATGAAACCATTAACGAGAGTTGACTAATAGTTGAAAGAATCATGCACAGGGATATAAACTTTCAAATACTAATATCACACTAAACTTTTGAATATTAACGTAAAAGGAAACAACAATAACTTATAGTATCTGAACTTATTTCTGGATACTATACGTGTACGGACCAACCTGGGCTCATATAATGTAGTTGTCAATGTTGGTCTGTCTCTCAGTAGATGTGATTGGTTCTGTTGTATAGACATGTACTGTGATTATCAAGTGTAACTCTAGAAATTATACTCCCATGTACATGTAAACATGTAAGTTCAGTGTATTTGTAAAATTGTCTTTTTGTAGTTTTTCAATAACTCAAACACTGTTTAGCTGATCATCTTAATTAATGCTTTTTAGTACTGGCTAAGATGTTAGCTTGTGCTAGAAAAACACATAGTAAAGGCAGCCTAAGAAATGTTGACTATGAGCTATTATATAAAATCATGGGCTAATGAAATATATTCATAGCTATTAGGTAAAAAAAGGAAGTTTTATAAATATCAAAATACCATACACTTAATTTAAATAATTTTAATTATCTTACTAACACAATCTTCCAGTAAAATTATAGGATAGAAGTTGCATTTTATTAGTCCCCAAAACTGGGACTCCATTTTTATCACACTATTTTGCTTGCCAACCATAGAACGTGTGACCAAAGTGCTTGAATTCATGCTAAAATCCTATTGAATCAACATTGCGTCAGCTGTTAGTATAATACAGATTACTTGTCTTTCATAGGTTCTGCTTGTCATTTTAACAGTTCCAAATTCTGTGTTTTTCTCTTAAATATCATATTTGGTGCATATCCATCTTATTATAGTACTAACACATTACTATCCGTGTAATTTAGTATCTATTTTGGCAATGTGGACTGTGATATCACAATTTTATTCTATGTTAGAAAAGCCTCTCTTGTGTTTGTTTTTGTAGTATTTTAAGTGCTCTAAACTCGCACTGTAATTTGTTAATGCTAAATTGTTAACATTGTCCTCGTAAATATACTGTATGCACTTTCAACAATAGAGCAAATAAGGTAGCTATACATTGTGTATGATAACCATTAGATGCGACTCAAAAGCTGCTAACTTGTCAAAGGTACATTTTAATATCTGGATATCTTGAAATCTGTTTTAAAAGACTGAGAAGTACAACTGCTTTTCTGGTCATCTAATGCACATTGAATGTACAATATCAAACTTGTATAAATATCTTTAATTGCTTGATCAAGACAGTTTCTTTGAAAGATGTCAGCGTTAGTACATGTATAATGTAGACATTTGAAAGTATGCTTTTTGTCACTTGGTCTATGAAAAAGGAGAATTTTTGAAATGTTGCACACAATTGGTTTTGTACATGTAGTAATTAATTCCTAGACTGCTTGTAACTGCTGCAGGTATGTTCCTTGCTTACAGCTGTCGTAGTGTGTGCTCTTGCATACAATCAGGTATACACAGAAGCATCAGTGGCTGCTAACTTGTTTTCATGTAATCATGACAGACACTTTGTCTAATCAATGTCACCAGACAGTTTTTTCATGATTTACTCTATGTGAGTGATTGATTGATTATGTATTTTAATGGAAATGCGTACTGACTAACAATGTCAATACATTCACATACATCCACTGTACAATACAGTATTAAAATAAAGAATATCATATTAGTTTGGGCTAGTTTTAGCAGACTTTTATTTTCACTTATTTCACTGACAGTTAAATGAGTTGAATTAAAACCAAGTGAATATTTAAATTTAACAACAGAATATATTACATCTACTCACTTCTCAAACCAGTGAATTTAAAACATTGTGATTATTTTCAACATCAAATTTGCTCACATTAAACCCAGTGAATATTTCCGTTAGTACAGTGTACATGTATAAATATTAATGTGCTTGTGTGTGTGTGTCATGGTTTTGCATGTAACCTGATATTTGGAAACTAAATTTCTATTGATGTTTTAATAATTCACTTTTTTCACTGAGTGTATCACTTACAGCTGTGGCATGTTGTGGATGTCTATATGAAATCATTTGAGTCGATCTCTGTATTCAGTTGTATTTGTAACTACCCTATATGCATACCTTCCATTCTATTAAAAACTGTATTCAAATTCAGCAACAATGAAATAGCTGAAATAAGCTCTTTGTCTGTTTGTACCATAGTGATGTGATGAAAATACCTTGCTTTACATAATTTATCAATATTTATTTATTCAATTCTCCAGTCTGCATTTTTAATAAATTATATATGTTCTTATTTTTCTGTAAATATTGTATGTAAATTACCTGCATGTTTTTAAAGATGTGTGAAAATTATGAAAACACCATACCATACATTGTAGGATTGATCGCCATTGTTGTATATTTTTGGAATAGTTTCAGTCTGTCACTTGACACATTCATGCCTGTATTCGCAGTTCATTTCTTAAATGCTTGTGGTGTTTGAGTGTGGTGTTAGTGGGAATACCTTGTCCATTGTTATCATAAATCACCAACCTCACTTTCTCTATGAAAGTTGATTACAGAACTCTATCCACTGATGCCATGTCCATCTAGATGCCTTTCGAAACATTTTCTTTCATCCATGGCAGGTTTTTTGCTTGTCTACCTGTCTCATTGAGGTTTAAGGACAAATTTGTATTTGAACATATGCATGTTGCAGTTGAACATACAAATACTATCATGTCCAGTATACAATGTAGCTGACTGGCAGCCATTTTGTCTGAATAAATTATCGGTTTTCACCATTTTTGGTTAAAAATTAAGCTGAAATAGCTACATGGATGGAGACACATGGATGTCTTCTAATCCGTAACATGTGTGTAGTTCATATTGTTTAGGCTAAAAACGCTCTGATACAAAAAAGGAAAAACAGTAAAAAAAGAGCACTTAAATGCTCAATGTCTTGCTTTATTCAAATAGTATACAGTTTTTTGCAGCCTACAGTTTTGCAGCACATTGTTTCCCAAATGATCATGGGTGATCTAGAATCCTTCGTCTCATTTTGTATGCCTGCACATGTACTGTACATTGATTTGAATGTATACTATATTTGATGTAACTGACAGCATAAAATCTGACCCTTCTGTCATTTCAGGAGGAACCCTCACATCTTTCATTAGAATGGGTACTGGAAATCATTTCTACAGAAATAGAAAAAGACCCTGATGGACTATTCCTTGTTGATATTATGCCAAATCTCAGGTTTCTTCTCCGCTGTGAAAAATTTGTGAAAGACTGCAAATACGAAATAACGCAATTTGAAAACAAGGTAGGTGTTTGAGGAGTTTTTCTTTTCTTTTTCTTTTCATTACAATGTACCTCTCCTGTATCATCTTAGATGAAGGGAAATACGGTAGTTGTGGGGGAAATTGTCTGTCCTCTTTTGTTTTTCTTGTGGTTAGAAAAACTCAAAACAGTTTTTATCCAATCTCTTTCAAACTTGGATTAACCACTGTGGTACATGTATCTTGGCAAATTCTGATTTTGGTTTGTTTTCTATGTATCTTCTTCAAAATATTGGAATGCGCAAGATATGGGTCATGTATAAACACAGACGGTGACTTTGACTGTTGCGCAGACAAACAAATACAAACTGAGACACTATCAAGTTTTAAATAAAGTAATTGGAAGGTATTGAAGGAGTCCACTGGCAGTAATTCACCCAGGTCAAAACTTGTACTCCTAATTTTTTAAGAAGAGTGCATTGTGGGAAAATCAATGTTTCTCAAGACATAATGTTGCATATGTATGGTGCAGCGGCTACCACCCTTTAAAATTGTGTTCTTGTTGTGGTTTCAATAAAAACTATTATCTGATCGACTTGGAAATCATATCAATTGCTATAAAATGTCAACGAAGTTCAATTTTAATGTGACTAGCCAGTTGAATCTTTTAGTGTTTATAAGGGACAATTAGATTATTACTGTACATGTACAATAGTATTATTTGAGAAACATTAATATTAATTAATTTTTTTATGTAATTATGATGCTCATGATTCTTGTTCATTTTTGGGCAGAATTGTAGCCAGTATTTTCTGCCCAAAATTTAGTTAAGCTATATATTTGCAGGGAATACACGGTAATCCTGCTTTCGCCATTTATACATGTAATATTTTATTTTATTGACAAAAAAAAAAATAAATAAACAAGAGGCTGTCTAAGTCTCTAACTGTATACAATAAAACAGAAGTAACAATCTTTCGTACAAAGACAATAGAATAGCTTCAGGCTATGTCTCATATTTGTTTGCATCTGGTTCGTTTATATCCAGTCCTCAGTGCCTTCACTGTTAGTAATAAAATTCCAGCAGAATATATGAAAGTTAATTGATTGATTGTCTCTTTGTGTAAAACTGTTTTTGATGTTGTTTCGTTTGAAACCCAATATATTAAAGGCATTCAACTAATTAATGAAGAGCCAAAAAAATATATAATTATTGATTTTATTATTATATTATCTGAAAGTATCTGAAAACATGCACAAATTCATGGTAATTTGAGCCTTACTTCATGAAAAAAATAATAATTTAGTCTAACCATAAGTACAAATGCATCTATATTATAACTAACACGTATGATTTTTATCACCTTGTGTACCAGAACAAAATTTTGACATATGACAAAACCTATTAAGCATAGGAACCAATGGTGAATGTTTAAAAAATTGCTATGATCATACCATTTTCTGTTTTTTGTGAGCAACAACATAACATAAAACTATTATCATGGTAAAAGTCAAGGGGATCTGGCATTAAATAGTACACAAATGCCAATTTTTCAGATACTTTAATCCACATTGTCCACATTAATTGTCTGAAAACAATATAGTGATAAAGATAAAATTACAATTTTGCCAATAATAATAATAATTATTCAGATTGTATTTTTATGGCATTGACCAATATCATTGTAAGTATGGGTAATATTCAATACTAAAGTTGTTACACTCTGAGAAGGATTGTCCATCATGAATTTGGTTGAATTCAATGTTTTGGATCTTATTGATCATTTCAGTTCATTATCGATGTCCTTCTGTGAGAAGATACTGTTTCAGGGCTTGAACTTTTGGTATTCTGAGGGAACATTATTTCAATGGCACAACTTTTCAAAGATATCCTACAACTGTGAACTGTGAAGGAAATATCACGAGTTTGCAGTGCAACAAGACAGTCAGATGGGACTGCGCATCTAAGGCAGTGGCCCTAGGGCAATAATTCTTCCATGAATTACGTGCTCTGTTTTAGTAGCTACTGTAAAATGCTACCTAGTATAATGTGTGTTATCGTCAGTAAATTTAACTTCATCCAATTTTCCTCTAACAATGAATCGATAAGTGCGCAGGTTATACAGTACCCCTCGGCATACATGTAGCTAATGTTCACTATCGTGACTGCCATCTAACAGAGCAGAAAGACTTGAACAGTGATCGTATTGAGCTCTGACAGGTAACAACTCTCTGTAGGTTAGTGTGAAATTACTGGAGTTGAACTCTCACAGATGCACTTTAGGGAAGCTTTACCTCGGTTCTACACTATAGGCTTAATTTGTGTTGGCCTGGTTGATGCTAGGATACTGCATACGACTTCTAATTGCCTTTCAGAAAGTGTTCACACAACATTTTACATGCCTTTCCCAATTTGTTCATGAGACACTTTAAATGTCAAGTTAATTCACAATTTCTCTCTCACTGATGAAAATATGCTTGTCTCATTTGAAAAACACAATGTTTGGCCCCCAGTTTCTGTTCCGTCTTGAAATTACAATAAAATAAATTTCTTTTCAAAATGTATGGGCAGCCTTGTATTTGATTAATAATAGTAATTTTCGAAGTTAAGACAGCTATTATGAACATTTAGTAAATAATGCTGAATGCTGTTATTCACAAGTCTGTCAAGTCAATATCATGTGATCTTAGTCAATCAGAAAAAAAGCACATTAAAGCCATAGGCTGAATTGGAAGCAGAATACACAATCCCTGTAATCCATAAAATGACTGATATTTCTATATTTATCTACTGCCACTTTTTCTTCAAGATATGGCAATTTGAGTTGCATTCTCAAAAGTATAAACCTGCCAGAAAGTATTTACGCACCTGTCATTTGATTGTTTTCCTAATTAAAAATAACAATTACATGTTGTTTTTAAAATGGACTATATTTAAGATGAACTAGTGCATTTTAGTCAAAATTAAATGGTTGATTTGTGTTTAATTTTTATGTATGTATGTAGGCATTATATCAGTGAGTGAAAATGCATATCATTTAAGTTTCTCTACTCATTCAGTAGTGAATCAGTTTCACATCGCCTGCAATTTGCATGCCAATTTTAATAAACTCACTGGGAAAATATTGAGTTTAAGCACAATAAAATCAAGGCTATATAAGGATTGTAATCTTTGAGGCTGTGTTTAAAAAGAAACCAAAACTACAACCTCAACATATCACAGCATGGTTGCAATTTGACAGACTGGACTGCGGCGTAGTGGACTGGTCGGATGAATCAAAGCTTATGGTGTATCATAGCCATGGAAGAGTGTTTGTACTTTGAAGACCAGATGAAGAGTATTAGTGTGTATTCAAACCTACAATAAAATTTGGCAGTGAAAGTGTCATGGTTTGGTGGTGTTTGTCGGCTACTTGCTTATGATCGTTAATCCATGTACCAACAACCATGCATCAATGGAAATATTTGGATATTCTGCAAAATGAAATGATATCGTCGGCACTGAGACTCGTTGGACTCGATTTATATTTCCAATAGAATAATGCCCCTGTTCACACATCATTGGCAGTGAAGGATTTTCTAAATAGTCCATTTTTTGCAATTTCACTACTTTGAATTGGCCTGCACAGTCTCCATATTTGAACCCTATTGAGAACCTTTGGGAGTTGATAGACTTACAGATGAATTTCAGACCAGTCGCTAACATCCAGGATTTACATGTACATGTATACGAGTATAATAGAAGCTTTGAGACAGATCCAGGTGAACATGCATCAGAAACTCGTTGATACTATACATGTACCAAAACAGCATTATTGACAATTGTCGCGTTCTATTACTTCATGAATACTCATGAGCTTGCATTTACACAGTATTCTCCATAGAGAATTAAACATATTTTTCACTGTTTAGTTAAGACTGTCGTTTTCATTCTTGCAATTTTTTTGCAATACGCATATTTTATTCAATATATAAATATACATTATTGAGTTTATTTTATTGAATGATATTTTAGGTAGTAATTTTGTGTAGTGCGGTGTGTAAATGAGTTCTGGTGGGTCCCTATATTGAGGGTACTGATATAACTGACTATGCATGTGCATCATACTAGTAATGTCATATCTCACTTCAGGCAGTACATGTCAAGAATAGTGTACAATTTATTACATTGTACAATGTTCTCATTGACATGTAGGGAGTCTATATTATCGTATTCATTAATATGCTTGCTATGACACATCCCTCTAAGGGGTATGATTGTGCCAAGCTCTTGAACTGCAACACATAATTACAGGAAGTTGGTCAATAATTAATCTCAGTGTGGGTTTATTTTATTTACTGCTTCATTTCCTTATATTCATTTGGTTATCATTAGTAATAAAAATATAGTTAATATCACTTTGAAAGCCAAAGTAGACTCTTCAAAAAAAATAAACCTGCATTTTAATTTTTTTTTTTTAAATTGTGTTCGTTTTTTGATCCACTACTAACAAATTATAAAAAAAATATGATCATTCCCACACCACACCATGGTTCTTTATCCTGTTAATGCAAGTGGCAAATCATTTATTATAATTAAAAGGAATGTTTCTCTGATTCTTCAATTACACTAAGATGCTTGTCTTCTGTTGAGATGAATCAATGTCTACAAGGCATCAACAAATTAATACATTCCACTATTGTACAATATATTCTGTGAATTGTAAAATATCAAATCTTGCACTGAAAATTCTGAATAATTCATCCACAAGCTCACAAATGTTCTATAATTAGTGTCCATAAAAAGTTCACTCCTAAGTGCAGTGCAGTGCAGTGCAGTGCAGTAGAATTGAACAGACTTTAGTGCCCATTGGGGAATTAAATCCATTATTTACTTCATTTACTAGACAAGAAATTGTCACGCCACTGTCCACCTTTCGTGATTTGTCACACAATTCCAACTGTCTAGTTTATCAATCAGGTTTCTTAACTGTTTTCACTCACTTTTTAAATTGCTTCCACATTACATTGCATCACGTCTTCAATTTGTAATTACTCCCAGCTGTGAGTTGTGCATTGCATTTATTAAAGCACATGACCTATTGGCATTAACCCATCACATTCACAACAAAACTGCTCAGTCAGTATCGTCCAATATAAAAACATAATTTTATATTGACAGACCAATAATGTGTATGTAGTACACAGTGCGAGTTAGCTTTCCAAAATTCCTATTTGTTCACATGTGTAATCATGCGACTTGTAGTGAATGACAACAAGGAAGAATCTACATCTCTCTTGGCATATTGTACTTCAGCATATCAAATCAAACACAAAATTTGCTGTTAAACACAACTTTTTTAGAGCTGATCATGCTGTCCAATTACACCAATACTACAAATTACCAGCAACACTGCTTTACTAATTAGCAAAGTTTATTTCCTACCTCAGACACACCAAAACAAACAAAACAAATCATACCACTTGCATATGTGGGTCACACTTTGATACAACTGTAGCCGTAGGACCCAGGGCCTATGCAACCAGTGACTCTTGATTCCGTATTTTTGTGAGTAGTCATTTCATACACAGCAAGTGTAACTGAAATATTTAAAATTTACCAAATCAGGAATCATCCAGGATGGAATTTGCAATGTCTTTACTCCCTTGTCTATGCTTACATTGATTTTTGTCAAAATGATCTGAACATGGATCCATGCATTCATGCTTAATTGTACCTCTTCATCAGATCTTCGATATCTGTTTTCCAGGTTATGACCTGGAATTCAGCATGTCATTCAATGAGTTGAATATTCAATTTCCTGTTAGTAATATCGTTCAATAAAAATATGAATTGAATTTTTTTTTATGAATGAAAGTAGTATTTGCTATGTAATTCTGTGACCAAATTTGCAGTACTGGTGTTTTAATCTCACAAACAGTAAGCCATGCCTATAATGCTGGTGTCATTGCCTACTGATACATGTACATATGTATACTGATACAATTTATTGACAAAACATAGTCAACGAATAACATACAGTTTCAGATTATAAGTTAATAGACATAATTATGCAAACTATCATGTGATCAATATGCGAATTTGCATTTACAGTGCATGTTGGTATTATATGTACATTTAGTTTCACTTTTGACTTGCGAACTTGCGCATGCATCCCGCAGGGTAGTTATTAATGTGTAAATATAAATGAAAGGCTTTGTACACTTTACTAAATTGTGCATACATCACATTCATCACTCTAATAATGATGTATATATAAACACAATTACTCCCTGCTGTTTTTTCAGGAAATCTTGACTCTAGACCTTTATTCTTCCTCATACATGTAGGTTTAAAAATAAATACCGATAGGTCACTTTTAACCACAAAATTCTCCAGGGTTTTGATCAAGGATGGCAACTAATTTGCACTAATTGGCATTTAATTTGTATAATTTATTCATAGGTTTGTCCATTTTTACAAACTGCTTACTATTACTTTCAGTTTTATTATTACAATGAAAAAGAAAAAATGTTCTATAATTGAGAATAAAAGTGTGAGTCGTGGCTTAGACCAATAGACGAGAAAATCTATGAATCATATCACAAATTTTATATACCAGTATATTTTGTATCCTCGGGGGCGGAGCTACGTCACGGATGTTCTACGTTGCTAAGACGCGCACCACTCTACCACGTATTTCTATGGGCTTTGTGCGCGCTGCTGTGGAACACCGGTGGAGCCGGTGAAAACTCAAGAAAACAACACAAACTCAACTTTGAAGTAATCCTGAACAACCAAATTCATATATGTTGCACACGTAGGGCTCATCTTATTTAATACACTGTCCAGGGGACTCTCAACAACCATCGCAAAGTACCGTTTTCTGCGAGGTTTTGGTCTGTTTTCACCACGAGGGTTGCCAGGCGGAAGAAAATGCCTGGATGTCCGCCCCCGAGGATATTAGGTTGTTGCTGATAATGATTTTTTCGTAAACTCAAAGAAAATTGTGAAATAGCTACAATTCACAAAAGAAAATAATTTCATTGTGGAATACCAGTTACTGAGGTGTTGTATGGTTCAAACTCTACAAACAACTTGTATGCTTTCGTCAGGTTAAAAAATCGGTTTTGGCTGGCTCTTTTGAAAGAAGTACCGCTGTGATGCATCAACCACAACCATAAGATCGTGTGGTGGCAGAGATGTGTAGAGATAGAACTTTGCGTGGGAGATTGCCTTGGGCTTTAACTGTTAATTTAGAGCCATGTACTCACCATACTGGAAACTGAAATTTGTGATGATCGTAAAGTCATGGCAGCTATGTGTGTTACCTCAAACAATACAGAGCTACATATGCACAAAATGCAGTATTTTCATGGGATATTAAAGCGTTATAATAAAAGCATCCCAAACATAGGCTGCAGTCTGTGAATAAGGTAAACCAAAAAGTCTATCCTGTACACGACTGCTTTTTAACAAGTAAATTTGTTGTGATGTTTACTGACCCCCAACAGATGAAAAGCATGTTGGGAATTTTGATATTGATGTTCATTTTAATTTACTGCTTATTTTCGACATAGGAATAATCTTGGTCTTCAAATATTTTATTTTTAAAATCGACTGTCACCTGATCAGTGGTCTTTGACTTTCATTGGTCATTGTTTATAACTTGGAAAACAATGGCAATGTAGGATGTTGAGAAGTTCCCAAATGCATAAAACTATAGCAATCTTTCTAAAGTATTCCAGTTCACTGAGAAACTTAGGCTTCTTTTGTGGAAATAGACTTTAGCGGGAATAGACTTTAGAGGGAGCACTATCCAGGCAACGAGGATAAAGAAAATGAAATGAACAGAATGCAGCATATCATGTAAAAAGTAATCCTGCATGTAAAAGCATACTTCAATACACATACTTTAGTTGCAGTGTGAGATATTAACTCACTTTCTCCAATATATTTGTTGGTACAATCCAGAAAATGTGGCTTATAAAGATATAATGTATACTGTATGAGAGGGGGGGGGGGGGGTTATTGCCTTCTATTGGCTCCAAACCAGAATATTTTCGTAATATTTAAATTTGCTATCTAATTAAACATGCATTCAAAGAGGTGTTAAAGGGGATTGAGTATCGTAGTCTGGACATGTCATGAATGTGTCTACTTTACATTATTTTGACACTCGGTGCATCTCTCAGTGTGCCAGCTGTGAGTGAATGTCCCCGAATGACATGCGTCTGTATTGTGCTCTACTATCCTACTCATTATTCTGGTCTGTGATGTATGCAAGCTAAATTGCATAAGAACTTACCATAGGTGGTACTAAGCTTTCAAAACGTATTGATGGTAATTATCCTAATATTTCAAATAGAATTTACTCACCATGGAGTAGTATATGACTATGTTGCCATTATGGAAAATTTAATCGTTATAATATATATTAAAACTAGATTCACATCAAAATATATATTCAAGGGGACACGTTTATTTTATTCATAATTCTTTAGGTTATAAAATAATTAATTTTTTTTTTTTCGCTATCATCACCAACATAGGGATGGATTCAAATACGCTAGAAACATTTTCGATTTTGATAATGTACATGTACTTCAATTAGTTTATTTTTTGCATCTATTCACCTTGATGTCTTCATATATATCCACTAAACTTTAAGTTGAATATACATACGAGGTGACACAATCATAATTATTGGTTGACAAACCAAATTAAAAAGTTTATAAATATGTTTGTAATGTATTAGTGGACACTAATTTCGGAAGGATTTTTTAATGCACAGATGACAGTACGGTTTCATGAATGAAATTTTCTATTTCAGTATCCTATTGCTTGTGCCTTAAATCTTGCTATACCTGAAGATAAAGTAATCAAGGCTGTTGAAAAACACACTCCAAAGCATCCAAATCAGCTCAAAGAAGGTGGACAGAGTGATGAAGCTGATACATCACGTACCGCGGTAAGTTTAGTCCTGATAACACTCCTGATATACAAAATTGATTCATTATAGATTAAAGACCAAATTAAAAAAAAAAAAAAAACTGGCTGCTGGAAAGAGTTCACAAGATACTTGCTGGACAAATTCTTCACATGCAAATGTTGCCTCATACATGTACATCATCATGCATTATAAAAATGTCAGTTGCAACACACTCCTGTATGAACCAAAATGTCCAGCAGCATTGCAGATTAATTAAAATGAAAAAAATATTGAGTTATACATACATGTACCTACCTACATGTAGCTACCCACCCACCAAATCAATCAATCAAACACATACCCACCCACACACCCACCCACCCACCC